CGTCCACCTACTCTCGATCTCTGAACAAGCTAATGAGCGAATGCTACAGCACTGTAAGGCGAATCGGAAACGATTCGCCCTCGCCCGAACAACGAATGTAAAGGCTAAGAGCCCCATGCTAGATGGAAATACGGCTGGCACGTCGGATCCGATACGAGTAGGATTAATACAGAAAGACGACCATTTCCTACGGATTAAACCCATCCCCTGAAAATCTGCAGAATGCGACATCGAAATATTCATACAATGCAATCATTGATTCGGGAGCTGTTGTTTTGGCTATCTCACTACGAGTAGTAGAGAGGGCAGGTAGGAAAAATAATCTGATCATGCTTACAGAGAAGGACCAGCTCGTTTCGGCAGACGAAGAAAAGATTAAAACAATGGGAAGAATGACCAACGTCGCGTTCCGATTGGGAAAGGTGCATGCACTGGGAGATGTCGTGGTATTAGATGTAAATACCTACGACGTTCTTTTTGGACTTCCCGCTCTTGTGGCATTACGAGCGAACCTGAATTTCGAGTGACGGTCAATCATCCTCCGAAACACAGGGGGAAAACCCTATGTTGTACCTATGAGACTGACTCTTCGTACTACCATCAATGCAGTCCCGCGAGTTTCGCCAATGATAGCAGGGACTCTTTGTATGATCACCTTGGAAGACTCCGCAGACGATGAGCCATCATCGAGGGATGCGGATAGCAGTGACGAAAATAATTCGGAAATTCTGAAGCTAGCACGACAGCGTATTTATTACCCGCCGCCCATAACGATCGCAAGAACAATGAATCTGACCAGTCGGAACATCCAGAGAACCAAGGCGATGATTTTGGGTGAACCCCTCGTACAAATTTCGAGGATGGTCGATTCTCTGGAACCCCCTCAAACCCTGTAAGAAGGAACCTCCCCACTCCTCGCGCGATACAACGACAAAAAGCACTATTGCGATATCACAGATCTACTAAAGTCCCTGCTGACACCTACAAAAGAAGTACGATTGCTACGCTTGGGGGCGGAGGCCAGTTCTTTGGAACCCCCTGGGCGTTTCGAGGCTGAATCAGACGAACTCGGAGTAAAGATTGCAACTAAAACCGTACCGTGGCAGGATATCTGCGATGGGATCACCCCGGAAGGACACGCGTCCATCCGGGTGGAAGACACCCAGATGATGGCTACGGTGTTCTCCTGGAGATCGGACCATTCGTTTATCTCTGCGCCACCGCCCGATGTGGCGAAAGAAGCACGCACGAAGCAGATCGACGTACGAATCTGGGACCAACTTTTTGAGTTACACGTGCCACAGTACGTACCCGATGAGATTCATCGGGTGATTGCGAACATTCTGACGGAATACCAGGGAGCAATTAGCGTAACCGATATTGACATCGGCTTGTCGTTGGTTATTCAACACGAAATTTAGATGGGAAATCATTCCCCAATCCATTGCAAGCCCTACCTATACTCCCTGATAGAACGAAAAAAGACTCTCGAACGAATACGGGAATTCGAAGCAAGCGGGTGGATCGAACCCGTCACCGGACCATGGTCATTCCCAGTAGTGTTAGTACCAAAGAAGAACGGATCAATCCGCATATGCATCGATTATCGCAAACTGAATGAAATCACGATTAAAGATGTGTATCCCCTCCCTCGGATTGATGATTTGCTGGATGCGATTGGGTGTGCTAATTATTTTAGTAAGTTTGATATTCAGCATGGCTTCCATCACATTCTGGTTAAGGAGGAAGATCGACCTAAGACGGCCTTCGTACTATTTGAAGGCACGTGGCAGTGGGTTCGGTGTCCGATGGGGATTTGCAACGCGCCGGCCACGTTTCAGCGAGCGATGAACATGACATTCCAGAACTTCGTCAACAAGACACGACTAACTCAGGGAATGATCAAATTCTGCGTGATTATGTACATGGATGACATCCTCGTCTAGTCGGAGACCTAGTATCACAGACATGCACAACACATCGAGTGGACGTTGGGAGCGCTGAGAGACGTTGGGTTTAATATCGCACTCGAAAAGAGCGAATTTTTCCTTTCGGATATTTCGTTCTTGGGTTGCGTCATGACACGTGGAGGATTGCGGCTTGACTCGAGAAAGGTCACGGCAGTGAGAGAAGTTCCAGTTCCCACGTCACTGATGCAGGTTCGAGCCTTCTTGGGGTTGGCATCGTACTATCGCCATTTCATCAAAGGCTTCGTCGTGATTGCACGGCCACTAACGAACCTGTTACGAAAGGACCAGCCTCTCAGTTGGGACGCGGAGTGTGAACAGGCCTTCGCGACCCTCAAAGACGCTCTGGCGACGACACCTATTTTGATCCGAATGGACCCTTCGAAACAGGTCATTCTTATCACGGACTGGCAACCGGAAGCTATTTCCACTATTCTAGCGCAGAAGGAGAATGATGGTCGTGAGCATTTCATCGGGTACGCATCGCAAACGGTGCCAGACGAACGGAGGAATGACTCAGCACCCCAAGGCGAATGCTATGCAGTAGTCTGGGGAATCTAGCACTTCCATCCGTATCTTTACGGACAGAAGTTCCGCCTCGTAACGGATCATGAGCCCCTGCTGGCCTTGAAGAAGCTCACCAATTACACGGGCATGATTGGACGTTGGGCGGTACGACTACAGGAGTACGACTTCGATATCATTCACCGGAAGACGGAAAGGCACGGCAACGCGGACGGACTGACACGTCTGCATCGGCCCGCTAAAGTACCAAAGGGCGAGGAAATCACTCCGTGGAAGGAGTCAGAACCGGCAAACGGGCCTAAGTACGGACAAGTGGCAGTTCTCCCACGTGGCAAGAAGCAGACCGGTGGCAATGGGTGACGGAGGTAACCGCACTACCCCTCTTTCTCCCATCTCGTCTTCATCTATTCTCTCCATGCCTGATAAATTTTGCTATTTTTGCGAAGCAATTTCTCGTGTATACTCTGTCTCCATGTGTCCTAACGGGGAAGGGTATGCAGAATGGATAGACTGCCGACAGTGTGTCGCACGGGCCCATGGCTCGTGCATCCAATATCGAAATGACAGTAAACCGTGGCTATGCCCCTTGTGCCGGGTTGACAAGATCCCGATCGAGGCTCGCTTTCTGGATGCCACGTCAGAAGGGTTGGAAAAGACCCGGAAATTTCAAAGGGTCGAAGTATGGACCGACATCGCTTTGATTGCCACCTTAGTTGGTAACCCCCTCCAGGATTTCACCAAGGAAGATCGGAGGAGGGCTAACGAAACCGATGGATAGAGGGTAGGTTAAAAAAATGGAAAACGGACGGCAGTGGGATTTGGATGGTTGTACCGCATCCGTTCATGAGGTACGACTGGGTGAAGACGGCACATGAGGAAACGGCAGCCCATTTTGTCGTACGGATTACAGAGTCAGCAATCGACAAAAATGAGTGGTATTGGTCCAACAATCGGGACGATGTGAAATTCATCGTCGCAAACTGTCACATCTGTGCTGCTGACAAGGCGCCAATCCAGCCGCCGAGATCGATAGTTCCAACGGTAGTTGAGCGGTCGTTCATGAGGGTGAGTATGGATACCACCGATATTGTGGTACCTCCTGGTCCTAATAGTTGTGAATATTCAATCCTGTTGGTATTTGTCGACCATTTTTCGAAATGGATCGAGGCCTATCCGTGTCGCACACGACAAGCCGCCGAAATCGCACGGTATGTTAACCGTTTTCTCGAGATGCACAAGGATACGAAAGAAATCCTGACCGATAACGGGGCAGAATTCAGAGGGGAAGTATTAAGGAACCTGGTCATACATGGTGTCGCTATGCGGAATACCGCACCCCACATGTTGCAATCAAATGGGCTGGTAGAAAACGCGAATAGGGTGATAAAGACAGCGCTGCGACGAAACATCGCGGCACGGGATCCGAGGCCCTGGCCCGATATCGTCGACCACATCTTAGCGGTCCATCGAGGAACGCCAAATGAATCGACGGGCCTAATCCCCTTCCAACTAAGGACTAATAGCGTCGCTTGCGTTTTGATACCAAGCCTCCCTGATGAATCAACGCTTAACCGTCGGCCCCCAAGGGCCACAGCACGGGACAAGGCCAAGAGACACTTAGAGTTAATGGAACGGTCCCTCCCCAGGCTAGCCCGAAAACGCCAGAAAATGACCGAGTTGGCCCATGGCCGACTGGTCCGAAGCTACGAGGCCCGGAATAGGAACGCAGGTCCACGGCCCCAGTACAAATTAGGGGACATCGTGCCGGTGAGGAAATGTGCTCGCCAGGGCAAGCTAGTGCCACGATTCTTCGGGCGATTCCCCGTGATTGAGCTCGGACCCAACGGCGTGAACACTGTGCGGCTTGCGCCTGAGGTCTCCGACAGCCGATCGACTCGTCCGATCATCCGCCACGTGTCCTACCTTCGTCCCCTTCCTCCTTCCCCATCTTCGCCTTCATCTGATTCCTCCTCCGCTGCGGAAGAGGACGACGACTGTTTATCGTATGTCTCTCCGTCGTCTTCTCGTTCTCCGTCTGTTACTCCGTCCCCATCGCCATCGCCATGAGTTTTCTTACGGAGCGAGCCCTCGACAATCCTCTGCTGGTGCAACGGTGTCATATCTCGGTGATCCGACAAGTTCATCCTCCGCGGCTCAGTCCAGACCTTCGGCGACTTGCGCAATTCTTCTGTACCCAGGGAGTGTACGCAGCCGCTGAGTTTCGCTTTGCAGGCAGTCCCCGGGCGGTTGCGTTGGCAGAGGCGGTAGCAATTCATCGGCGGTTGGCTCCCGGAATTAGCCACGTGTCTACGGTGGTCGCCTTCAGTGGCGACATCAGCACCATCAGCCCGCTGCGGCATACAGCCATCAAGACGTCGTTTTGGCTTTGGGCGCAGCAGTTGGCGGCGGAGTGGAATCGTTGGCTCACGCCCCATGGAGATAGCCTTTTTCCCACGGACGACGTCGATCTCGACGGGATCCGAACCTTCCATCATGAGCCGGCGGTGGTGCTCTCGGAACTTGTTCTCTTCCCCCGTCCTCAATGAACCCCTCCCCGATCTCCACTTTCGACCTCCCCTCCTTCTTTCCCACTTTCTGGCAATCCGGAGTCCATCCACACCTTTCCTTTTATCTGGAATCCCTCGCTGTCCCCCTCCTCGATCCCCAGCAGTGGAGGCGTTGGCGAGAACACTTTGTCGAGCTGTCAATGTGCCTGGTCGGAGTAAAGGTCACGTGGACGCGGCACGTGGATCACCATCAGTGGGTCGAGTACCTCGAGCTACTGATCATCCAAGCGTGGCGAGTGGAAACCGGGGGCGATCTGCTCGGATTCCTCTTCGGATCAGTGCGACCCGATCACCGCCAACTGATCGTGCACGAGCTAACGGTCCCCCTTGCGCAGCTAGCTGGCGATCTCCCACTTGAGATCGTCTCACAGAGCGACGACAGCCCAGTCCCACACGTTCTCACAGGGACCTTGGCGCCATATCTCCAGTGGTCGACGTGCTTAGAGGAACCAGGAAGCGGCCGCAACCCACCGTCACGGCGAGGCTATCTGGACCCGTATGAGATATTCGACCTTGCCTTCTTCCAAGATCGGACAGCTTCCGAGAATGAAGACGTAGAGATTGAAGCGGAAGAAGAAAGCTCGGAAGAAGAAGAAGCCGAAGAAGAAGCCGGCGAGGAAGAAACTCTCGAAGAAGGGAGTTATAGTAAGCACAGCGAAGGTGCGCAAAGTGAGGAGGAGGAGGAAGAACAAGGCGACGACGAAGAAGAAGAAGAAGAAGAGGAGCTGGAAGAGTCGGAGTGGGAAGGATTCGAGGAAGAGGTGTGTGACGAGGCTCAGGCGCAGGCACAGGCGCAGAAGAGAGAAGAAATCGCGGCCGGGAAGCGACAGTTGAAATTCGCCAGCGCAGCCACCGACGACCCTGCCCGAGATCCAGAGCCACCTAAGCCAGAGGATGGAGAGGCAGCTGCCGAGACTTCGACCGCACCAGCAAGGCAGCGACGAAGTCGATCCCCCTCCCCCTCCGCCTCCGACCGCCCACCAACTCGTCCACGTACCAATGCGGGGCATCGGGCTTCGTCCCTGGTCATTATCCCCCTGTCCCCTTGACCACCTCTCTTTCCGCTAGATCACTACTCACGTCACCTTCACCGACGACCCCTTTCCCATCGATACCTTCCGCTTTTTCTCTACCACTCGTCTCGCTGTCACTGTTCATCCCCACCCTTCCACCCGATGCGCCCTCCCTGTCTTCTGCCTTCATATCCTTTTCCTTAGTGCCGCGTGGCAAGGCCAGAACATGATCGAGGTATACTGCATGATTACGGGGACTATCCCCGCATGCGAGAACCACGATCACTTCCGCGCGGCCCTCTTCTGAACCTTTACCACCCTCTACCCCGACTACCTCGCGTCCCTCCCTCACACTGGCAACCGATTCCCCCGCTTTCACCGGATCGTTCGCTACCAGAAACTTCTGGAGACGGTGGTCGGAATGGAGAGTTTCCTTCCCCCGCTACTTATCAACCCTCCCCCTCGCCATCCCTCCATGTACCGCCTTCCTTTTCCCCTCCCCAGCACTCGCTGATGTAGGAATGACGGACACTCGTCATAACGACGACACGTGTAATCCCCTCCTTGGATTGTCGATGACCCTCCCCGAGGAATTAGTAGTAGAGCTGTGTTGCCACGTTGGACGACGTCCACACTCATTCGAACAGCAAGTTGCATCAAGAGAAGAGCTCCACGTGTCGATCGATTAGAGAAATCGACACGTCTCAACAAGCAAGCAGGAGCTTGCTAATATTGGAACCCCCTGGGCGTCACATATGTGACGAACCGATTTCCGCACCGCGTGATTTCCTGGACGATTGCGATGAGGGGTCCTAAGCTGGGAAGGTTGAGTCCTGGGATGATCGGTTGAAGGTCTGGCGTGTTGTCAGGCGCGCGATTAATAATTGTTGACGTCGTTTCTTTTGTTCCGGTTTTATAATTTGGGCGCGGATATCGCGCGGGAATTTGCTTCGTTCTTTTTGAATTTTCTTTTTGAAGTCTTTTTCGAATTTTGTCGAGCCCCAATGGCTCTCGGAATTTCGGACTTTCTTTTCGGAGTTTTGTGCTCTTTGCCTTCTTTGCATTTATATAGGAATTTAGGATTTTTGTAATTAGGACTTTCTTTCGCCGCACGGCGCCTTTTTGTTTACGCACTTTCTTATGCGGCCGCAACGGAATTCTGATTAGTCGGCGCCTTTTATCATGCGTGTAACTGTAATTTTGGGCGGGCGCCATTGTAACTGTATCTTTTCTTCTTGCGCTTCGTCTTTCCCGCTCTGGTCTTCTCTTGCTGTGTCTGAGCAGCCCCGCGGGCTGCATGATCGGATCAATGCGTGGAGAGCGACTACGTCCCCCACGCCGCGATCGGGCCATGTAGACGTAGGCAATCCCTCCCCCTCTGACCTTCCTTCTAAGTCCTTGTAATTCCATGTTCTTCGCTCACGCATGCACGCTATAAATTCCGGCTACGCGATTAGTTAGCTCTCTTAACCAGCTGTTGGAAGCTCGGGGTTGCGCGATCGGAGAGGGTCGGCACACGAGCGAAGTAAGAGGTGAGTAGAGCAGGAGTCAGGCGACCCGACGAGCTGGTGCCAAATGCGCGGGGTTGACGCGGGCCACGACAGACTGTGGGCGTGGGCGAACCTGACGGGTCCGAGAGGACTAAGTGGGGTGACTGCTTCGTGGGTTGATGTGCGACGACGGACTGTCCGCATCAGAGAGAGAGAGAAGAAGAAAGAGTTGAGGTTGATGGACGCGGATTTGTTGTTTCTTTTATCTTTTCTTCCTCCTGTCTTGTGTACATAAATTTTGATTCGGCTCAGGGCGATTTGCCCGTTTCTGTTTTGCGGAATCTAGACTTGGGTTTTTGCTCACATTTATCTTCGCGATCTCCATCTCAGATGCACTTTGTATGTATGTTGTTGAATGAATGGATGTATGGATGCCATGTTTCGTTGCTTGTTTTCCTATCGGATCCTTGCCTCTACCTTTGTCAATTGCCTTTGATACACTCATGAGTAGGATAGGAGTTTTGTGCAATCGGTAATCCTGTCCTCGTTTTTGCCTCTTTCTGATTGAGCAGTTGTCACAGTGGTTGTTGCATTTTGCATTATGGGGTGATTAGACAATCGATGTCTGGCCTAACGAACGCCGCGTGAGGACACGTGTAAACGCGATCTGAGTTGCGCATTCACACGTACCCACGTGCGTTGATCGTCACTCCCAAAAAGGACCATCGGTCGCATTGCATGATTGGACGCGACGATCCCGGGTCTGCGACGAAGCAGTCATCCCGTACGAGCACGTGTAAGCGCGACCTGAGTCGCGTGGTCTTCACGTGCTCGCACGCGGTGACCGCCGTCAGCACAGACCTGCCCCTAGGCATCTCATAGTTCTACGATGACATAATGACACGCTCAGAGAACTCCGAGTCATTATTGTACGACCCAGAATACTTCACCCCTTGGATAAACGAACTCCTCCGACAGAGATACCCTTGCCTAACCGAGAACCGAATGTGTCCTAGGGAGTTTCACTGCACTACCACTATCGACCTCCGGTGCTCTGATTACCCCACTCTGGACCACACCCACTACTTCACCCACCCCGGATTTGTCGTTATCACTACCAGTTTCCCTCCCTTCCATCTTCTTCTTCCATATCACCAACTCCGCGTCGTCCAGTGGAAAGCCATAGCCCCCTACTGGCCCAGTACACCCTGCGGAAATTGTCGACGACGCGACGATCAGAGGACCCCGGGATCCCGGAGGCCTAACTCAAACACGCGACGGTCGGCGCCACGTGGCAACTATCGACGGTCCGACTCTTCGGAACCTCACCCACCCCGAAGGGACCTTCACGCGGACCGCCATTCTCGGAACCAGTGGCTCGCCTGGCCTTGAGTGACCCGCGCATGCCATCTGCCTTATGACCAGAGGCGGTCCGCCCTCTCCGCCCAAATGCATTCGTGCCCCCGAAAAACCCTGCCACAAGAGATCTCAGTTCTGACCTGGGACTCCACCCCCACTTTCCCAAAAATCCTTGGCACAC